TTCCTAGGAGTTTAAAGCTTCTAATGTGATCATTAACGGAATTTTAAAAACTCTTTTTCTTCTAAATGACTTCTGTTAGTATAAAGGCAATTTTTCACTTTTGTGTATTTACTAATCTTAAAAAGAACCCAAGTTTGCCCTTTAATTCTAATGGCTTTTTAAAAAATTACTATATTTTCTTGAGTGTTCTAGGCATATGGTTCATCTATAAATATAGTTTGCTCTTTTCATTTCCAAATTTATGCCACTCATTTTATTTTCTTTTATTATTGCAGTAGCTAGAATCACCAAGACGCTGTTGCATACAAATGATGCCGGAAGGCATCTCTTTTTTCTTTCTGGCTTCAGTGAGCTTGCTTACTATTTTACATTTAATATTGTGTTTGATCTTAGGCTTTGATAATAGTCTTTATCATGCCTGAAGCATTTCTGTTTATTTCAGCAATAGTTGTGACTGCTGAAATTTATCAAATGCCTTTTCACTGTCTCCATATTTAATTTGTTGTTGCAATGAATTTTACAGACAGATGTTTTCATATTGACCCATCTTTTATTCCTAGAACACATAACTAGTTTGAAGCCAAAGAGGGAAAACACAGTAAAAGAAAAGGAAGAGGAAAGTTCTGTGTGTATGTGTGCAGAGAAAAAGAAAGCAGACCTAAAAATGTGAATAGCAAGTGTGGTATTATTACTGATGTTTGGATTTATCAGGAAAAAAGAAGCAAAACTTCCAAGAATGTGAAACAAACAAAACAAAAACAAAATCTTGTTTCCAAATAGGCCTAATTACTTTTTTGGCAAGGTACCAAGGGGAATCCTGCCTTCTGATCCCAGAGTAGATGAGTAAACCATTTTCCATCTGGTGGACAGAAGTTTTGGCATAATATTCGTGTAAAACTGTTGGGGCCAGGGGGGATAAGGACTGTGGTCTTCTCAGGATTTGAAAAAGTTTGCAAATACTATTTCTATACTTACTACTAAATAAGTGAATTATTTGTCTCTTCCAGTGTCCACACAGTGTCCAGGTGGTTGTTAAGAAGTTATTTTTGGATCCCAAATCTCTCTCAAAGCTGCCCTAGTCTCTCCCTAGAGCCACCTCATTAGGACAGGTCTCCTAATTTCTCACCAAGCTCTAGGGGACTGAGCCTGACAGGTGGTCACTGTGGAGGCTGGCATGACAAAGCAGAACTGGAGCAGGAGGCAGATGCAGAGGCTGCTGATCATAGAATCATGCACGTTAGAATCACAGAGACAGCTCAGACTCCAACCCAGATAGTCTCCCTGTAACTGTCCAGGGTCAGGGCCAGTCATCTGACTTTTCAAAGTGCCCCAGCCCTGGGCAATTGTAAAGAAAATCCTGGGTTGACAACTGTTGGAAAAGTGGTTCTTGAAGAATGGTTTCTGTACTGTATATACCAGCATCACCTGGAAGCTTGCTTGACAGTTAAATCTTGGTTCCCACCTGGATGTACTGAGTCCAAAGTTCTGGGTGTGGGGCCCAGCAATCTGCCTTTAATAGGCCCCAGGGCATTCTGTTAAGGCGTGAGCTGCACTATGGCAGGGTTGCTCGGTGGGTTAAAGAGCCATATATCCCTAGGCGATCACTGACTCCGAAGGAAAGACAATTCTGAGAAAACACTTCTTTATTTTTTTTTCATTTAATTAAAAAATTTTTTTAAAAATTGAAGTGTAGTTGCTGTAGTTTCTGCAGTACAATAAAGTAAATCAGCTACACACGCATGCATATATATCCCCTCCTTTTTGGATTTCCTTCCCATTTAGGGCACCACAGAGCACTAAATGGGGTTCCTTGTGCTATACAGTAGGTTCTCATTAGTTATCTATTTTACACATAGCATTAGTAGTGTATGTACATCCTAATCTCTAAATTAATCCCACCTCTGATGAATCCCCGCTTGGTGTCCATACATCTGTTCTCTGTCTCTGAGACAACACTTCTCATTGCTACAGAATGACTAGGGGTGATGGGGATCCGAGGGAAGACGTTGGCTTCAGTTGACGAGGAGAGCAGAGGTCTCCCAGAGCAATTTCAGTGGAGAGGTGAGGGTGCGAGAGTCATGATTTTCAGGATTAAGGGAGAGGAGATGGTAAAGAACGGTGGGAGTATGTATGACCTGTTTGTTGCAGATCCTTGGCTGAGAAAAGGCACAGAAAATCCAAGTTGTGTCTGGAGGTGGCAATCAAGTTCATGCAAAGAGTATTTGTGTTTTCCTTTTTTTGGGAAAGAAAAAAAAAAAAACGATTTGGAAACAGAGAAGTTCCTGCAAAGAGAGAAGGATTGGTGTTTGGAAATTAAAAAAAAAAAAAAAAANGGGTTTCTTTATGAGCGGCAGGTCCTGGTCTCTGCTGCAGTGTTCACTTCCACAGGAGTTAGGGCGAAGCCTGGAGGGTTTGGATGGTGGGATGGTGGGGAGGAAGACTCTGATATTAGCTAGCCAGCCATTCAGAACAAGAGCAGGACCACTAGCAAAATAAGGTCTTGGCTTACAAGAAAGAGATTTGTGTCTCAATGACTCATTTGTTACCGTTTTATTTTCACTTCCTGTTAATCCTTGATACCCCAGTCAGGGACTCCATATAATATAGATGTGAGAACTCTTTTGTAACTGTGATGTCCTCGGTTCCTGTTTCTGTGAGGGCTTGACAATGGCAGTGTTCTTTCCAGGAGGTCATCTCTCTTTAGAAGCATCACATTCTATTGGGGAGTGGTGATCTTTGCTCTATTTCATAAGCCCCAGGGAATCAGGCAGCCCCACATCTCAGTTGCAGAATGTCTTTTACCAAAACAAAGGAGCAGGTTTAGGATCCTGGAAATGAAGTTTCACTGATAATGGAAACAACCTGGTTGATTGTACTGGTTGATCATTATTTATAATACTTTGTTCTTTTTAAAAATGGTCCTTTGACTCTAGCATAACTTAGATAATGTTAAAAAAAAAAAGCACCAAGCTCACATACATGAGCTGTACGTGTAACAGTTGTAATCCACATAAATGGATTAGCTGTACTTGGGTCCACACAATATTGACTCCTGACTCTGCAATGTATTCTGGCATAGAATTTCTAAAGTTCTAGTCTGCAATATTTGCATTTTTAAAAACTGTGTTTACTCTGTCCCCTGATGCTGGGAAAGATTGTAGGCAGGAGAAGAAGGGGACGACAGAGGATGAGATGATTGGATGACGTCACCGACTCAGTTGACATGAGTTTGAGCAAAGTCTGAGAGATGGGGAAGGACAGGGACGCCTGGCATGCTGCAGTCCATGGGGCTGCAAAGAGTCAGACAGGACTGAGTGACTGAACAACAGCAACAGCTCTTTGTTTTGTTCTGTTGCCAGTAATAAGGAGGTCATATTTGCAGAAGCTAACAGAGAGAGAGAATTTTACTGGCATACTTCTCTTAACCCAGAGGTAGTTTTAGCTTGATGCATGGTTTGATCTATAAGTTCAAATAAAATGATCAGAACTTGATTTCTCCTCTTTTTTGTTTGTGGGATTTGGTTCGGTTGATATTTTTTCCTCAGGCAGGCTCTTTCCTCTTAGTGACAAAATAGCTGCAGAAGCTCCAGCCTATGACCTTGGATTTTGTGGGCAGGAGCATAGGTTCTGTGGTTAGGGTCACCTGGATTCTAATCTTACTAATCGGGTGACTTTAACCAAGTTACCTTTCATTTGCAAGCCTGAGCCTATGAAAAAGTCTCCTAATAAAGTGTCTCTCTTCTGGTGACTGTGAGGATTAAATCAGATAATCTATGTAAAGCACTTGAAGGTTCCTGGTGCCTAGGACTTACAGAAAAGACAGAGGAGAATTTCCCCAGCATTTTCATTTACACCTGTTTTCTTTGTATCTCTTGTTACAACAGCGGACTATTCCTCCTCTTGTGAAGTCTAGCTTCCTTCTTGTTCTCAAGTCTCTCCCTCTCTCCTTTGTAAAGATTTTGTTTCCTTGGTCTCCATATCTTGCATTGTGCATCCTTCACTCTGAACTAGGTGTTTTCAAAATGCAAACGTGAGAAAAGCAGAGCTGTACTAGAGCCAGAGTCTCTGGTTAGTAAAAGTCAGTTCCAAGCATTTCTTTCCATCTTTACGTACAGTGATATCACATGGGTAGCTGGAAATCAACCCCCATGAGAGCCTTTGCGCTGCAGAAATTGGCCAATGCTGCACTACCGACCAAAGTTTGACTCCAGAGAGCCAGTACATTTACCAGTGCACCACTGATAAAAACAAATAATAAGTATAACTCATTAAAAATGAACAAACCCCAAACTTTCCTGGAGTCCAAATTCTCCTCCTTAACCTTAACAGCCAAGCATCTCCCAAGGGGTGGTCTCTATGTTATCACCCTCTACCCCACCATATTTATCCTTCAACTTGCCACATTAGAGCTTTTGCCCCTAACACGCATCTGAAACACCTTGCCAAGGGCTCTGGGGACCTCTTGCTTCCTGAACAAGTGGACATCACTTTGTCTTTATCCAACATATCAAATAAAAAAATGTTCTTAGATGCTTTTGGCATTGATGATGGCTACATCCTTCTTGGAACGTTTTTATGCTTGGCTCATAATTCAAAGATCTTCTTTTTCTTCTTTTCTCAACTGGTTTTTTTTTCTTAGACCCTTATGACACGAGATAGATGCAGGTTTGATTCCTGGATTGGGAAGATCCCCTGGAGAAGGGAAAGGCTACCCATTCCATTATTCTGGCCTAGAGAATTCATAGGGTTGCAAAGAGTCGGACATGATTGAGCTACTTTCACTTTCAAACTGGTTCTTTTTTTCTTCGTCCCTTATGCTTACTCCTCTTTCTTTGTTGTTTAGTTGCTAAGCCATGTCTGACTCTTTTGTGACCCCTTGAGCTGTAGCCCCGTAAGCTCCTCTGTCCCTGGCGTTTTCCAGGCAAGAATACTGGAGTGGGTTGCCATGCCTTCCACCAAGGGATCTTCCTGACCCAGGGATCTAACCTGCATCTCTTGTGTCTCCTGCATTGCAGGCAGATTCTTTACCAGTGAGCCACCAGGGAAGCCCTCCTCCTTCTTTACCAAACTTCAAACCTGTTAAGGCTCCCTGAGGCTTAGATATTAACTTTCTCCTAGGTGAGTGTTTCCGTTCTTCTCTGTTTAAGTACCATTTTGATAGTGGTCGTTTTCAAATTTTTCTAAAGCCCAGGCCTTTCTTCTGAGTCCGGATCCACTTCAACTCCCTGATTTATTCATTAGGGTGTCACAGAGAACACTTGAACTTAGTGCAACCCAAACAAAATTCCTGAATTTCCTCCTCCCAGAAAAGCCCCTCGAACTCCCAACATGACACACAGCCTCCCACACCACACATCTTCCCCCAACACGACACACAGTCATGAGACTTTCCTGAATCCATGCATGTTACCACTTAACGGATTCAGCTTGAGAGCATAGGAGTCATTTTTGATTTTTCCTTTTCTCTCAACTGATGCCCAAATTATCATCAAATCCCTTCTGTTTTCTCTCCAATTGCCCTTTTCTTCAAATCTACTGTTGCTACGTTAGTTCTCAGCTGCCGTGGTTCCACTAGATTTTCAGAAGTCCTCCTTCTCCCTCTTCCGGTTACACTGCCTTTTTCTTTAGTCCCTCGTTACATGCTTCCGAGCCTGGTGGGCTGCAGTCCACAGAGTTGCAGAAGAATCCGACACGACTTAGTGATTAAACAGCAGCAACCACCTCCCGATGAGCCTTTGCACATTCTGTTCCTTCTCGCCTGGAATGTCCCTCATTCTGCTCTTCACCTGGTTAATCTTGCTTGTCTTTTTCCACTCAGCTGAATTCCTGATACCCCCTCACTGAGGCAGGTGCTTCTTTTAGACTGAATTCCCGCACCAAGTTCTTTACTTTTGAGACATTGATCATAGTTGCATCTTTACATTTTTATGAATTAATGAATGCCTATCTTCCTCATCTTTTCATACTGTTCATGAGGTTCTCACGGCAAGAACACTGGACTGGTTTGCCATCCCTCCTCCAGTGGACCCCGTTTTGTCAGAACCCTTCACTATGACCCCTGTCCATCTTGGGTAGCCCTGCCCAGTATGGCTCATAGCTTCCTTGAGTTATGCAAGCCCCTTCAGCACGACAAGGCTGTGAATAACAAGATCTTCCCCACCGATCATAAGAATCAAGAGGGCAGGAGCAGTTCCTTGTTTTATTCCCAATGTCTTGTAAACACAGTAAGACATTCAATACATAGTCGATGAGTGGAATGAATAGATATGGCATTAGTAACACTAGTGTCAGGTTCATAGGAAGATGAGACCCTCTGTGCCAGTGAGGTCAGGGGAGCTGGGGAACCCACAAACACCAAGACCTTCAGGCTAAAGGCCCCCATTCACAGAGAAATGAACGTGGCAGCAAGTGACTGTAAGGCATGCTTCACCCTCCCAATCCCGCTTCCCAAGAACCACGGGGTGTCTCTGGACGGTTTCTCAGGTCAGCTCTGCATCTGAGTGTGCCCTCGGCTTCCATCAGTGCACGTGGACCTTTGATCACCTTGGCAAAAAGCAACAAAGTGTTAGCTTCTCACCATACCTAACAGATGGCTGTTCAGCGCGTCTACTCTTAATGTAGATCTCATCTGAAACCCAGTTTTCATAGTGTTGGATTTTTATTTTTCTTTAAATGGTATTCAGGTTTGTTCTTCTCACACTACAGTTCCTCCTACCTCAACTGCACCCTGAAATTGTGTCTTATTTTAAATCAATCATCTTCCTACCTCTTCTGGAATATCCCTGGCTACATTGCACTGGATTTGATAGGAATGGATCCCAAAGCTTTCCTCAGTGCTTCTTTTTTTAGGTTCTTTTCTTTAAGTTCTATGTGGTGCCTTACATAGAGCTTATTGCAACCTCCTAACCTCCTGATGGAGTTAGTGCTTTTGCTCAAATCACCTCCAATTTGAAACAATTTGTGTTTCCCATAATATGCTCACTTCCCAGCTCTTCTGAATTGTACTTTTAAAAAAGCTTCAGTTTTCTTATTGGAAGCAGCTGAAGAGACAGAGAAGAATAAAATCTATCTCCCATAGGAGGAAGGGTGCAATTGGATTGCCAGGGTTTTGTATAAGGATTACAGAAAATCAGAACTAAAAAGGAATGTTTTACATGAGACCAAAGAATGTTAAGGCCACCCTGGTGAAGCCATTGCCAAGGGCACTGTGCTAACACCGATCTAGTGCAGGTCATAAACTGCTCCATTTCATTCATCTGCAAATGTTTAATATGCTGATAAATTGTACTCCTTTGGCCACCTCCCCCCCGCCCTGGCCATCAATCTCTTTTTTGGTGGCATCAAAGCAGCCATTCATTGGCTGCATTTGGCAGAAATGAGGTGCAATCGATGTCAGGGTTGCATCACTAGTGTTATAACCTGGCATTTGGTATCGTCTAGACATACCTTGTGCTGCATTTACCTGGCCTCATGCAATCTCCTCTAGTCCACCTGTTGTCCCTCCCATTGGAATTTTCTGCTCTCCCTGTCTGCACATCTGCAATGAGCCTTTCGGGGACAGAATCACGTTTCAGCCCTTTCTGACTCTCCAGATGTAATGACCTGGCTCCAGGGAAGTTTTTGTGTTTATCTCCTGTCTCTTCCCAGAGAGGCACTTGGGGAGAGTGGTTATTTTCTCGTTGTGAACTAGAAAGTAGCAACCTTTCCCAGCAGTGATGGAGAAACTCTTGGCCTGTCTGCTGCACACATTCAAACCACGTTTGGAAGCAGATCACTGTCATAGGCACGTGATTTTTATACACAATGCTCACTGACTTATCGTTTACACTGATAGACTTGTAGTTACATCTGGTCCTTAAAGCTGAGGCACCCATAGATAATCTGCTTTGGAACTACCTTAACAAATGGTGGTGAGTTTATTTCTTTTTTTCTGTTGGATATGAAAGTCTTTGAGAAAAAATAAATAGGGAAAATCTAAGGAATCATTTTCACAGAATTTCTTTTCCAAACACAATGCTATTGGAAGAATGGCTGTCTGCACCCTCCCTCCAGGACTTCCCAGCTGCTGGATTTCATTCTTTGCTTTGAGCTCAGAAGTCCGCTCAGTTGAAAAGGGGACAAAGACAATTCTAGATCTTTCCATTATTTTTCCCAGGCAGTGCTAGAAAGAGCCTTGCAGCATGCATGCTAAGTAGTTTCAGTTGTGTCTGACTGTTGCAACCCCATGGACTGTAACCTTCCAGGCTCCTTTGTCCATGGAATTCTCCAGGCAAGGATACTGGAGTGGGTGACCATTCCCTTCTCCAGGTGATTTTTCCTGACCCAGGGATCGAGCCCGTCTCCTACAGTTCATGCATGACAAGCAGATTTTTTACCACTGAGCCACAGGGGAAGCCGGAAAAGAGCCTTAGGAATGGTCTGATCCCGGGTTCTTGTCTCTTTGCATCAGAGTCTTGAATGGAAAATAGGGGTCCAGGGGTTTTCCTGAGGTCTCACACCTCTGGGTTTCAGGAGTCTTTTTCTTGGTCAAGGTTTATTAAGAATCTGACACTCCAAGTGTTTTAGTTGCTTGCATAAATTCATACCAGGCAGAACTTCTCACAGGGACATAAAGCCTGGCAGAGCAGTTAGGGATGGTAGAGCAAGTTCCTAACTCTCCCCAGCTCTTGTTTAGAAGAGTTGACTTTCCCTTTGGAATTTTACACTCAACTTCGGTGGCGAGAACGGGGCATTTCCTTTATTTTCCAGTTGTATTAATTGACGTGGGTGGTGGCACCTGCTGGCTGGCTCCGCTGGTCTCCACTGGGTTAGATTCTCCGTTGTGTGAGATGTAAACGTGCTTGCTCTGCTTGCCTCTGACCACCTAGTGTTCCTTTGTGGGTGGAGGGGGAGGCTGCCCTGGGGCCAGGTGCTCTTCTACCTTCACTTGGGGGAGGTGCCGTGGAGCAGAGATGAATAAGGTTGCTCTAGCCTTCCATGCCTGGCGGTGAATCCACCTGGAATGCCAATCTTTCCCATGGGGGCTAGTGTCTCGTTCCAGCCCCAGTGCCCTTCCAGTCTCCTCCAATGGGATTGGCTTTTGGTTTCCCCATTCAGCTCTGTCTCGCTCAGTGAATAGATGGACAGGAAATTGGCCCAGATATTTGGTGGCTCCAAGCACATTTATGGGGAGGAGGGTTATGAGCAGTTGGAAAATTATAGAATTCCAAGTGCTCAGGAATGCTTTGCAAAAATAGATGAATTTCCCTTCCAGTTGGAGTCTGCATCACAATGGACCTCTTCACATCCCTGAATAGGTGAGAAAGTCCTACGACTAGTTGTGTTTTTCTCAGGTAGCATTTATTAAGCACCTATTGCATCAGAAACAGCAGCAGCACAGATGAATGGACCCGCCAGTCCTTCGAGCTGGAGGAAGCCACATTGCCATCACCCACTGAAGCCCGTCCTTGGGTTTCAGAAAATGAATGGTGGCTCCGGGTCTTGTGTTCCGTGGCCTACGCCTTTGACAAGGCTCTGCTTCTGCTTCAGTGAAGCCTCTATCTAGCCTTCATGTGCCCTCCTCCCATCCATCCCAGCCAAGTTCACTGCCAAAGGAGAGGAAGGCAGACACCAAAACTTTAAGTTCAAAATTCCACCAAGGGTCTGCCTGGCTTGCTCTGCTTTTGTTTTCTTCAAAAGCATTTCTTTAAAGGAAGTATGTGGACCTTGAATACAGTTCCAACTGTGCATGTGTCCCAGGGGATGTGTGTGGTCATCTCCTCAGGCCCCATCCTTGTCTTCAAGGCAGATCTCCCTGGCATGTTCATTTTCTTCCCTGTGCTGCTGTTGTTCAGTCGCTAAGTCATGTTCAACTTTTGTGACCTCACAGACTGCAGCATACCAGGCTTCCTTGTCCTCCACTATCTCCTGGAGTTTGCTCAGATTCACATCCATTGAGTCGATGATGCTATCTAACTATGTTATCCTCTGTTGCCCCCCTTTTCCTTTTGCCTTCAATCTTTCCAAGCATCGGGGTCTTTTCCAGTGAGTCAGCTCTTCTTATATTAGAGCTTCAGCTTCAGCATCAGTCCTTCTAATGAACATTTATGATTGATTTCCTTTAGGATGGACTGGTTGGATCTCCTTGTTGTCCAAGGGACTCTCAAGAGTCTTCTCCAGCACCAGAGTATGAAAGCATCAGTTCTTCTGTGCTCAGCCTTCTTTATGTCCAACGCTCACATTTGTACATGACTACTGAAAAAACCATAGCTTTGACTATATGTACCTTTGGCGGGAAAGTGATGTCGCTGCCTTTTAATACGCTGTCTAGGTTTGTCATAGCTTTCCTTCCAAAGAGCAAGCATCTTCTATTTTCACGGCTGCAGTCTCTGCAGTGATTTTGGAGCCCAAGAAATAAAACCTGTCACTGCTTCCACCTTTTCCCCTTTTACTTGCCATGAAGCGATGGGCCTGATGCCATGATCCAATGTGTATTTTTTGCATTTCTGTGTTTATATGTTTACTAATTAGGCTTTCCCTCTACAAGGTAAGCTCCCTGAGAGCAGGGACCCCACATTTCCTGTTGACACACCCTCCCAGCCCATGGCAAGGGGCTCTGGAAAGATTTATGGATGAATTGGAACAAACATGCACAAAGTAAAAGGTGAGTTTTTTTTCTCTCTTCACTCCACTCTCTCCTGGCCCCACTCCTCAATGTTCACGACTGTTAATAGTTTGATTTACATCCTGTCCTTGGTGCTAGAAGTAAAGAACCCAGCTGCCAATGTAGGAGACATAAAAGATGTGGATTCAATCCCTGGGTTGGGAGGATCCCCTGCAGAAGGGAAGGGCAACCCACTCCAGTATTTTTGCCTGGAGAATCCCATGGACCTAGGAGCCTGATGGGCTACAGTCCATGGGATTGTAAAGAGTTGGACACGACTGAAGTGACTTAGCATTCTCTCTCAAATGTCTCCCCCTGCATTCACAAGACTACCTCCACACCACGGACATGCCTTCTCCTCCCCAGTGGGAAGTGCACAGTTTTTGTACTGGGTGAGTACTCAGGATAAAACCCTGAAATGCAAGCAGAAATCTACCATGACCAGGACTAAGAGATTACACTCTGAACCCTGGGTAGGCGTATTTGAAACCTCAAACTGTAAATTTAGCTGCCATGTCGAGGGTGGTAAAAAAGCAAGAGTCCTTATCTGAGAACGAACAGTGAAATCTAGACTTGGCAGGAGAAAGAATTCTTGTATGTGACCCGAGTAATCTCAAAAGACAGAATAGCTGTGGTCTTTGCAGGCAGCACTGTTTTCATGATCAACGGTTGACTTTTTCCCCTTTTTGGTGGATTGAGATTATAATGCAATCCAATCATCAGACATAGAAATGCACACTTAACAAAAATCAGTGATAACCTGTAAGTGAAGGGATAAGGCTTATAGAGAGAGTGAGGGAGGGTGGGATGGGCAGAACCCAATCAGTGAAGTCACTGTGCAACTTTTATCAAAATAATGGATGTTTTGGAACATGGAGAGATTTGGAGGAAATCGTCATTGGACAGCTGTATTTGTGAAACTGATTTGTGAAATCTCTGCTACGAAAATGGTATAATTTTTTTTCATCTGGAATACCTGAATGATCCAAGGACTACTGGATTAATTAAAATCAGGAATCACAACCTTAAAGACAGGGGACCCCAACCCCTGCAATCTAACTTAGCCTGATGATCTGATGTAATAATAATAAAGTGCACAATATATGTAAAGCACTTGAATCATCCTGAAAGCATTCCTGTCCCCAGTCTGTAGAAAAATTTCCTCTATGATATTGGTTCCTGGTGCTAGAAAGGTTGGGGACTGCTGCTTTAAGAGACACAGATCTACAAGGTTATCATAAACACATGTGTCCGGAGATAGCGCATGTGGAGACCAAAGCTCTGACAAGTGATAAATACATTTCCCTTTGTATGAGCGGACGTCTCTCAGTCATAGTCAAATATCATCTCAGCTTGGCTAACTCTGTGACTACTGATTGCCTGTGAGTTTCCTTTCCTGATGCTGCTTGATTCACCCCCTGTTTGTCACAAGGATCAGTGGCACTAAGTTAATTACTGGAAGCACCACATTCATCTTTTTCATCCAATACAAAATGATGTTTTCAACTATTAATACATGTGATGTGTGGTATGAGGAAGTCGAGATAGGTGAGTTCAGGAACCTCTAGACACACAGGTTGAAGGAGTATTAATTTTGAAAGTGGCAAGTCTATACATCACTGTGACAGAGTTCCTACCGATCGCTAACTTTTAGCATTTGCTTTCATGATCACAGACACAATAAAAGATGAATCTTGTTTTCTTGAGGCTTCAGAACAGAGACACAGCTCCATGGTCTGTGGTGAATTATTACTTTGTCTCAGGAGTTGCCCTATAAATCATTCCTGAGGCTTAAACCTCATAAAAATAAATCTCTGCGTGTTTCTAACCAGCACCTCTGGTGTTCTCAATGTCATCTACAAAATAAAGCAATCACTGTTGAGATTTTTCTCGTATTGTGTGACGTCTCCCTGCTGTCACTACCTGGGGAGAATGACTTACTGTTATAGAGAAAGGCAGATACTCGACTGTCATCCACAGAGAGCCAAAGATGCTTAACAAGTCCACTAATGGATTCTATTTCTCATCCTGATTGGTTGCTGGGGGGCCTGTCACTGCGCACACCTAGCAGATCAATGAAGACTTTGTTGTGACACTGTGCCCTCAGAGATCCTCTTGGACCATCTGACACTTTCTGTCACTGTCACTTAGAAAGGCGCTATTCAGAGATGACTTGCATTTTCTAAAGTATGGAATGGGTATCTGTTAAAGGAAAAATCCATCCATGATGATAAGTTTCTTTCCTTATACTCACCTGTGTTGGAAATTTCTGTCTGGATTGACATGGAGGCTGTAGGCAAATGTAGTTACCATCTATATCCTTGTTCTCATCGGTTGTTCCTGGTGCATCTGTTCTAACCAACAGTCCATTCGTGGCATGATTGCTACCCCTGGATACTCCCCTCAAGCCCTCTTAAAAGAATGCATGGGCCAAAAGACATCACTAATGTCTGAAAAAGTCTTTTAAAAACCTCTGGCCCTCTGAGAGAAGATGTTGGTGATATTTTATTGCTACAGATTTGTTGTCGATTTGAGGTCAGATTTGATCTGGCTTCCCTGGGGGCTCAGCTGGTAAAGAATCTGCCTGCAAAACGGGAGACCTGGGTTTGATCCCTGGGTTGGGAAGATTCCCCTGGAGAAGGGAAAAGCTACCCACTCCAGTATTCTGGCCTGGAGAATTCCATGGACTATATAGCCATGGTTGCAAAGAGTCAGACACGACTGAGTGACTTTCACTTTCACTTGATCTGGCTGGAGATGGGAATAGCAAACGAATTGAGGTGTGGATATTTTATTTTTTCTAAGCTAATATTACCAGGGAAAGAATCACAGATCATCCCTAGGCGGAAGGAGTATTTTGAATGAGAATTTTAGAAAAGGAATTTTTTTTTTCTGATTACACTAGTAATAAATGTTTATTGCAGAACATTTGGATAATAATAATAATTCCCTGTAACATTACAGCCCAGAGATAAACAGTGTTAATTGCAGCATTTGGCCTTTCTTTCCCTTTATAAATTTGTTTCATCTTTGCTTTATCTGTACACAATTGTGTCATGCTCTATATAAGCTGAGTTTTCACTTAAGATATACTTGGCATTTTTCCATTCCTTAAAAATTCACAAAAAATATTCAAATATATTTTTAATGCCTATACATATCCAATTGTGTTTAACCAAAATTTTAATGAATATATAGATTCTTTCCCATTTTTTGTATCATAAATTATACCAAGAACCATGTAAATCTTGGTGTGTAGCTCTGATGATTTCTTCATACTAAAAATCAAAATCATTATTACTGGGGTGAAGAATATAAACATTTTTAAGGCTTTCAAGGCACACATTGCCAAATTAAACATCAGAAAAATTACATTACTGACCATTGCACAAGCAGTGTTTGAGCAAAGCCATTCTCTCTTCCTTTCATCAAGCAATTATTTGATCACAACAAGAGAAAAAAAAAAAAACCCACAAAAAACCCCAAAAACCTAGACAGCATATTAAAAAGCAGAGCCATTACTTTACCAACAAAGGTCTGTCTAGTCAAAGCTATTGGTTTTCCATATAGTAGTCATGTATGGATGTGAGAGCTGGACTATAAAGAAAGCTGAGTGCTGAAGAATTGATGCTTTTGAACTGTGGTGTTGGAGAAGACTCCTGAAGAGTCCCTTGGACTGTGAGGAGATCCAGCCAGCCCATCCTAAAGGAGATCAGTTCTGAATATTCATTGGAAGAACTGATGCTTAAGCTGAAACTCCAATACTTTGGCCACCTGATGTGAAGAACCGACTCATTGGAAAAGACCCTGATGCTGGGAAAGATTGAAGGCAGGAGGAGAAGGGGAAGGCAGGAGGAGAAGGGGACGACAGAAGATGAGATAGTTGGATGACATCACTGACTCAATGGACAAGAGTTTGAGCAAACTCCGGGAGATAGGCTGGTCTGCTGAAGTCCATGGGGTTGCAAAGAGTCAGACATGACTGAGCAATTGAACTGAACATTTTAACGTGCTCCTTTTTGTCTCCATTGATTCTTTTTTTATTTTATATGTATTTTTATAAGCCACATAAATAACTTGGAGCAAAGTAGAGAGTTATTAACACATACAAAGTATACCTTATTCAGTGAAATAAACTGAATTGCTTCAACTAAAAAAAAAATCATAATATTCTGTAAAAAATCAATGGGGGTTCCTACTCAAATTTTACAGTTCTATGTGAGGGGAAGATGGAACATGGACACAAGTCTGCATTTTTGTTAGGGATTCAGTAGCTAAATGGATGCTGAGAGGAAGACCAGGCAGTCACAGCTGGGAGACTCACCTTGTACGAAAGGACATCTCCTGCCTGTTTTGGCTGAAGCTGCTGGACACACTTGTGGTGGATTAAACAGATGGTGTAGGGGCCCTGGCCTGCACCCTGCATGTTGAAGCCCCACTGTCTGCCTTTCCCCTGCAAAATAGAAAGTATCAGTGAAGTTCTGCAGGGTCTTCTCCACTTTGAAGGCCTCTCTAGTTTTCGATGGGAAGTGGGGATCTTGAATGAACAAAATGTGCTTCCAGACCCTGGTGGCTCAGTGGTGAAGAATCCACCTGCATGTAGGAGATGAGGGTTCGATTTCTGGGTCAGGAAGATCCCCTGGAGAAGGAAATGGCAACCCACTCCAGTATTCTTGCCTGGGGAATCCCACGGACAGAGGAGCCTGGTGGCCTACAGTCCATGGGGTCACAAAAGAGTCAGACACAACTTAACAACTAAAAACAACAACAAATATAGATATCTGTATCTCCCTAGAAATGCTAGGAAGCCATATAGAATTATAAAGACATGTCTAATAAAAAAACATGCTTTTTCTTAACTCTCTTTATCCGAAGGGCTTTAAGATGAATGATGTAAAAAACAACAAAGGACTATTACAAATTCCCAACGTTTCCCGGTTTCCTTCTTCTTCACTGTCTTTTCTCCAGATACCACGGTGATACTGAGAAAACATGAATGCACAGACAATTACAGGATACAATATGTAGTTACGACTGAAACCCTTTCACTCCACGATTTCAGCTTGGGTTGGTGCATTAGACAAAGCCAAGATTCCTCACGCTGCGGGTTTGCTCGGGGGTCCAAGGTGGACCTTTTGTTGCTATAGTCTCTGGGTGCTGGTGGCTGATAGCGTTTGTTTCCTCTCTAACCTCCAGCTGAAATCTCCGTTGAAAAGGAGCTTTGTTTTCTTGGCTTTCCTGGTGTGGCTTTAACATATGTCCATTTTCCATGGATAGATGAACATTTGACCATCCGTGTGATGTGCCAATTCCTACCTTTGTCCTTCAAAGGTCGAAACAACACCCTTGCTGCCATTAGAATTCCCTTCACAAAGCACAAGGAAATCTCTCCTAAGGCATAGCTAACCCGCTCTGGGCTTCATAATTAGCTTCTGTAATAAAGTACTTAATCAGAATAGAAGCCCTTACTAATTACAGCAGGAAGTTGGGGCAGGGGGCTTACCCACAGCTGGGGGGAGGCTCTGCAGAGGTGATGGGAATGCATACCCACAAGGGTCCCCGGCCACAGAGCCCCAGGCCTTAATTAGCCCCTGCAATTAAAAATGAAAACAATCCTCCATTTTCTCATTAAAAGATGGAAGTCCCTCCCCCACTGCATTAATGGGAATAATAATTTTGCTACTGCAAAGACTGTGCCGATGGCCAAAGACAATGGTTGGCTCCTGCCCCTCAAGACCTTGGCAACCCCTTAGCTTGCTAGGTTTCAGACACCTCTGTATGAAGGGAGATGGATCAGGGTTATTGTCACAGGTCAGGACACAAAATACTTGGGGATAGGGGTCCTCTTGCCCGTAAGATCACACGCTATAAATCAAAGCGCACTGCTACATTTAGAATGGATAACCAACAATGACCTCCTATAGAGCACTGGGAACTCTGCTCCATGTTATGTGGCAGCCTGGGTGGGAGGGGAGTCTGGGGGAGAACAGATACACGTGTATATATGGCTGAGTCCCTTCCCTGTTCATCTGAAACTACCACACCATTGCTAATCAGCTACACCTCAGTATAATATCAAAAGTTTTAAAAAAGAAAGAAAAAGCAGGAAGGTTTCCTCCTCGGAACTGGTGGTAGCAATCGGCTCTTCCTCTGTTTTGTAAATTCAGCCACGAATTCAGCCAGACAGATGTGGGCAGGCCTTGCGATCCAGTTACTCCACTAATTTTTAGAAGCCTAGAGCTGAGGGGTGTCCCTATGGCTCCTTGGAATTCCTATGTTTGTTTTCTCTCCGTTGCTAGGGTAACCGGTTCCCAGCAGCAGCTGTAACAACTATCAGCATGTGTCAATCTCACCTTGACTTGATAGCCAAAAGGAATACAGATGGGTGAAGAGATTGAAAAAAATTAAAAATGAAAGAAAACTCACCCCCAGGGGAGAATTTGAGTATTTACTCTACAGGACACGGGGACAGAGGACAGACCAGACGGTAACTGATGGCTTTGGGGATGCAGCTGCCAGGGTTATAACATCCCGGGAAGCCAAGCCACGGACAGTGGGAGCTTAATAAAGGCAGTTTCTTGAAGTTATTGCCTAAGAACAACCAAAAGAAAACTGTCTCAACAGCTTGTTGTTCTGTTGCTACGTTGTGTCTGACTCTTTGTGACTCCATGGACTACAGCACAACAGGCTTCCCTCTCTATCACCAACTCCTGGAGCTTGTTCAGACTCATGTCCATTGAGTCAGTGATGCCATCCAACCATCTCATCCTCTGTCACCCCCTTCTCCTCCTGCCCTCAATCTATCCCAGCTTCAGGGTCTTTTCTAATAAGTTGATTTTTCACATCAGGTGGCCCAAGTATTGGAGCTTCAGCTTCAGCATCGGTCCTTCCAATGAGTATTCAGGGTTGATTTCCTTTAGGTTGGCTGACTGATCTCCTTGCAGTCTTAATAGGAGGGAATGTCAAAAATGCTTCCCTAGAAAATTTGAGAAAGTGGCTTTTTAAAAAAGGGGTTGGCTATGAAAGTTAAGAATATTTGGAGCACTTGTACCTAGCCATTAGTGTTTTCTGTCTCTTCTCTCTTAATGAAGGCTGACCTTAGATTTATATGTACTTTTTTCTCTTCTAACCCATAGAAAGCAAAGCTGATTTGGAGACACACAGGTAATTTTCACAGAATCACTTCCAAAGATGATGCTGTCTTAATATCAGAAATGTTACTGGGACATGTAGCTGAAGGTTCACCAGAACTATGTTTGAGGAGCTCGGCACCTAACCCTGAAGTGTTGTTATTATTTCTCATCCTCTTTTTTGCTGGATTTTTTTTTTTTCCATTAGAGCTATGTGGCTCAGGCCCATGGGATTGGTTACGTGGCAAGTATCTTTTTCTGAATTGTTTTAAATTTATAGTAATAAAAACTTTGTGTGTGTGTGTGTGTGTGTGTGTCTCTTTTTCGACCCCATGGACTGTTAGCCTGCCAGGATCCTCTGTCTATGGGATTTCCCAGGCAAGAGTACTGGAGTGGATTGCCATTTCCTTCTCCAGGGGATCTTTCTGACCCAAGGATTGAACTCACACTCCTTGTGTCTCCTGAATTGACAGGCCGGTTCTTTACCACTGGGCCACCTGGGAAGCCCATACATTGTATACATGTACATATATGTATATATTCTATATTCATATATAGAATATACTATATACATAAATATGTGTGTGACATATTTTTTAAAAGCCTCAGTAGTGAGAAGGAGGCAGAAATGAAAGGTCTTTCATGCTCTCTTGGGGAGCTGGGACTTCGTCTCAAGGGCAGAGGGGAATAACAGAAAGCCTGATAGGTGGGAAACTAACATGATTGGATTTTCTCGTCAGGATGATCTCTCTGGCCACAGAGCAGCGAATGATTGGATGTGGGTTAGACTGGAGGCAGAAACAATGCAGATGTGGCTGCTGGAGTCTTTCGGGCTGGAGATCGCTGTGGCTGGAACAGAGGAGGTGACCGCGGGGAGAGGTGGCCCCAACTACACAGACAGTAAGGAGGCAGAATCTGCAGGTCCTGTTGTTTGTCGACTGTGGCAAGTGAAGCGAGGGGTGGGGCAGAGGCTGGGGTGCTCCTGGGCTGGGAGCTCAGGCAGCTGAGTCACCCCTGAGAGGGGCTATGGGGTGGAGGAGTTATTGAGAGCAGACTGGGGAGTTTCAGTTTGCACACAAGAAGGCTAAATGACCTGCAGGGCATCCACAGATTACTAGGTAGAAATTTCCCTTCATGAGCAACTGTTTTGTTTCATTTTTAAAATTTTACTGGAGTATAGTTGCTTTACTATGTTGTGTTAGTTTTTCCAGTACAACAAAGTGAGTCAGCTCTGTGTGTGTGTGTGTGTGTGTGTGTGTATGTATATATATCCCTTCTTTATTGGATTTCCTTTTTCTGGTCACCACAGAGCATTAAGTAAAGTTCTCTATGCTACAGAATAGGTTCTCATTAAATGAGCCACCATTTTAATTAAGCTTTTCTCAGAATTCCAGCATTCTAGGACCCCTTTAGAGCCTGAGGGTCTCTGTTGTGGGTCTGTTCACCCAAGGGTGGCCCACCCCATGGACTTGCCCCTCGATTCATGGCTGTCCCAGGGGCTGCTGCTCATGGAGAGTTGGAGGAGGAGTGTGGGAAGGACTTGATTGTGTGGGTTGAGGTGCAACTCACTTCTGTGGGGTGGGGAACCCCAGTTGTGTCCTTCTCTGGGTCATGCAAATGTTAGGGACAGACATCAGGGAGTGTATTTGCTTTAATCAGATGAAAGAGCAGAGAAGCAATAGAGATGCTTAGTGACCTGGTTAAAGCCATTGGAAATGTATGAACTGGAATTAGCCCACGTGGCTAACTTCACACATCCACCCCCCATTTCTCCCATAGAATCTGTGTAAAAATGACTCATTTGTATCTATCCATCCATCTATTCTTCCATTCAACAATTATTCTCTTGCTCTCTCGCCCTTCTCCCCATCTCCCTCTCTGCTTTGAAGCTGATAACAGATATGCACACTCACATCTCCTGTGATGCACAATAGTGACTGCATTTGATCATCGAGTCCTGCCATCCAGATCCCACTTTAATGGAAAACTTGTTGCTGCAGCTGCTGGGCATGTTGTCAGCACACAGCCCCCAGCTGTTGGTCCTTCCAGGTGTCTCAGCTGCAGACAGCTTCCCCTTCACAAATCCAAGCCCTTTCCTGCAGATCCTCAGAGCGAATGGCAGATAAATTCAGGGTCCAGAGACTTGGTTCTCTCAATGTAACTAGTGAAAGTCTGTCAGTTGTGTCAGACTCTTTGTGACCTCATGGACTATACAAATCCATGGAATTCTCTAGGCCAGATTACTGGAGTGGGTAGCTGTTCCCTTCTCTAGGAGAACTTCCCAACCCAGGGGTCAAACCCAGGTCTCCTTCATTGCAGACAGATTATTTATCAGCTGAGACATCAGGGCAACCCAAGAATCCTGGAGTGGGTAGCCTATCCCTTCTCCAGCAGATCTTCTCGACCCAGGAGTTGAACGGGGGTCTATTGCATTGCAGGCAGATTCTTTATTAGCTGAGCTATCAGGAAAGCCCTAGTAACTAGGACAAAGCTCAAGTTACCTCCTAGCTCCACAGCAGGCTAAAGAATAGACCAAGTTGCCATCTGGCCTTTGCTGAAGTTCATCATTGCCCTCTTCCCAGTCCTGCTCCCTTCCTCTGCCTGCATGGGTCTGGATACCAAGGTCATTCTTGAATAAACACCCTTNCCTTCCTCTGCCTGCATGGGTCTGGATACCAAGGTCATTCTTGAATAAACACCCTTCACATAAACTATAACTCTGCTCTCTGGAGAACCCAACTATGTTCTCACATAAACACACATGAAATAAACTGGGGCATGTACCCTAGTGGAGGAAGTGAGACATGAATAAGTTACTGCCATGTAGTATATTAAAAAGCAGAGAGAGCACTTGGCCGCCAAATGTTCATACAGTCAAAGCTATGATTTTTCTAGTAGTCATACATGGATGTGAGAGTTGGACCATAAAGAAGGCTGAGCGCTGAAGAATAGATGCTTTTGAACTGTGGTATTGGAGAAGACTCTTGAGAGTCCATTGGGCAGCAAGGAGATCAAACCAGTCAATCCTAAAGGAAATCAGTCCTGAATATTCATTGGAAGGACTGATACTGAAACTCCAATACCTTGGCCACCTGATGTGAAGAAGTGACTCATTGGAAAAGACCCTGATGCTGGGAAAGATTGATGGGAAAAGGAGAAGGGGATGGCAGAGAATGAGATGGTTGGATGGCATCACTGACTCAATGGACATGAATCTGAGCAAACTCTGGGAGATAGTGAAGGACAGGGAAGCCTGGCATGCTGCAGTGCATGGGGTCCTAAAGAGTCAGACAAGACTGAGTGACTAAACAACAACAAAAGACACAGGTAGTAAGAAGTGGGGGTAGTGGGAGTTCAGATCACTCCATCTGTGATGATTTGTGGGATGCCAGTCATTTCTTCCATGTCTGGATGCCTCCTCCTTCAAAACTCAGATTCTTCCACACCTCTAGAAGGAAGAGTCCAAGTTTCCATGTTTTAACAATCATGCTCTTTCTTCCTGTCTACACAGTTGGCTGGTCAAGGGGTGGGCATCAGACTGAAGAGAGTCCACTCCTTTGCTCAGCTGGAATTCCTGTCTTCTCTCTCCAAGGAATTGGGGGAATGGGGACATATGGAGAATGTACTGTTTCCATTGAATTCCAGAACTGATGGGATAAATATGCCATTGGACCCACTAAATGCAGAGAACTGGTGTGAAGGAGTGAGAACAACAAAGCATAAAAGAAGAGAAGATCAGAGAAGTGGAGACCTGTGCTCCAGAGATGGAGAGGGTAATTTCCACCCCTGATTTTTCTGACTCCTCTGACTCTGGTGTCATGTAGGACATGGCTATATTTGGTGCCCTAGGTTCTGTGAGTGAGCACTGTGTGTGTGTGTGTATTTTTTTTATCCAACCGACTAGTTCTTTTGGCTAAAGAGGTCTGTTTCTTGTAATAATATTGGACTTACTCATAAGGGAAGGGATTTGAATTGGGAGTTGCTGGAAACATAAGATTTCAATAGGGAAAGATAAAGAGACCTTGGAATTCAGGACAAGAAGAACAACGCACAGAGGTGCTGAAACACAGATTTGTTGGACATACTTGGAGGATGATGAATAGGTCCTTCTGGCCAATATAGGGGAAATGGAAATCAAAATAACAGGATAAATGTTTGCAAGACTGGTGGGAAAACTGATTAATCAATGGAGCTGGCCAGCATTAAAGAGTCTATTCATTCTTTTTAGGAATTCCCGGAGGCCACAGAAAACTTGAAATGAGGACAGAAGGCAGTAAAGGTTGGTTGTTGGATGAAGCAAAGAAATAAAAATAGGGCAGAGGGTGTCTCACTTGTGGCAGGGGAATAAGAAGAGATTAATCAAAATGGCACAAGGAAATAAATGGAACCAAGGGGAATTGAGCAAGGGGTTTTGGCTCTTGCTGAGTTATAGGGAATGGGTAAACTTGTTTCTTAGGCACAACCGCCTCATATACCGGGGCTGCAGAGGTGGTGTCCTGCCCAATTCTAAGGACTGCTCTTCACAATAATGTCAACATGCGTGATCCTCTTGGGATTGCACCATGTGGGTGGCCTTGCTCATAAGTCATAACTCTGTGTATTAATTCAAGATTTTTCCATCGATGATGATAAAAAAATCCCAGTTCAAACTAGTTCAAGACAGAAATTCTACTGTCTCATTTAACTCAAGAGTAAAAAAAAATATATAGGTCATAAGAGGGTTGGTTCAGAAGACCACGCCATCAGAACTCTGACTCCAGATCACTTTGATTCTTGGTTTACATGTCAACTTCATCCTCTGATGGGTCTTCTTATGGTGGCCAAAGTAGCTTCCATTGTCTGAGATCTCATTTCTTTATAATTTACCCAGAGGAATAGTGTCATCAATGGTTTCCTAAAAGCCTGATTAACTATCTCCTCAGGTCTCATAGACCCAAATCAAGTCATGCCCATCCAACAATGTGTGATGAGTGTGTGACAACTTTTGTGTGCTCTCTGTCTCTCTCAGAAAAGAGAGAAAGAGGAAAAAAAAGGGGGGGGGGGGGAAATCCCTGATTGTAGCAGTTGATTTCTATGGTGTAAATATTCTCACCTTGGCTGGTTTCACACTACTGATGTGATGTAACTGAAGCCAGAGTTGGGAAGAGGTCCACACAGTTGACTCTTTGAAGCCCATGAGAGATGGTTCAGTACTCTACTGTCCTTATTCCTGAACTGTCACTGTGAATAGATTGATACTGCAGACTGAGAGGTTTAAGGCAATCAAGATGCTATAAGGGTCAACATTAGAGAAAATTCTGGGAGATAGTGAAGGACAGGGAAGCCTGGCATGCTGCAGTCCATGGGGTCGCAAAGAGTTAGACACAACTTAGCGACTGAACAACAACAATAACTGATTCACTCTGCTGTACACCAGAAACTAACACAACATGGTAAGGCAACTATACTCAGATAAATAATTTAAAAAGTAAAAGTCTGATAATGGCCAAAAAAAAAAAGAGATGAAAACATTAAAAAAATAAAATTCTCCTGATTTTCAGCCTTTTCCCTGTCCTAGATATCTTATCTTTGTGGAAAGACGGAGTGCAACGTCCATTTACTACTGAAAGGACCAGAAAATGCTTCAGCAGTTGTGCTGTTTCATTTTTTCAAGAAGCCAGGCAGCCAAGGAGGACTCTCTCCCCAGGAGCACGTGTGTGCCCATGTGAAAACTCTACGCCTCCCAGATCCACGTCTGCCAGTCGCTGTCAGCCTTCTGAAGAGTCTTTATTCACACTGTAAGCACTTGATGAAGAGTCCTCAGAGTAAATTCCTGGCCAGAGATGGATGGCCTGACCTTATTCAAAGGCAAAATAATTTCCAGACATTTATTTTGGATGGAAACACGTGTCTTTCCCTTGGCAATAATTTCCTTGTGAGATATGCTATATAATTTCCCCCAACTTGCAAATAGACGATTCAGAAATTTCATTTGTAGGTCAGTTGTTTGGAATGCACAAGGAATTTTCCATAGAAATAATATTATAAATGGTGGTTCAGGACCCTGGCTAGGCCCCCCCACCCCACTTTTACTTAACACATGCCTCAGTTGACATACTGCAGTGGAGAACGTGGAAAACAAGAGCCACCGATACTCTTTGTTATAGAAATGATATCACACAGTGGCTTGGGGTGTAGTGTGAGACCGACTGCACTAGGACAAGCATTAGCTGTGTGACTTTGGGCCAGTTACCTAACTTCTCAATTTCTTTGTCCACAGAAAGGGGATGATATTGAGATCTAGTTCATAGAGCTGTTGTGTAAGAATTACACATACACACACATCCCCCTTAGACTGGTTCCTGGAACCCAGTAAACACATTGTGACCTTTTGCTATCATCATTGTTGGTTCTAGTAATTGGTGTGGTGCTGAGTCTGTTTCAATCATCGATTGGACAAAAAGCAATACTCGTGGAATATTAATAGCAAAATAAAAACAGATGGATTTTTTCCCTCATGGTTATTGCTGTTTGATTAAAATAAGGTAAATTAGGGGAAAAGAAGAAACAGATGGATATTGATATTGAATGATAGGATATTTTCAATGGAATATTGACCTTAAAAAAGTTGGGTTTGGGAGGGATAATTTAGGAGTTTGGGATTAAAAGGCACACACTACTACATGCAAAATAGATAAGCAACAAGGATCTACTGTTTAGTGTAGGGAACTATGCTTGATGTTTTGTAATAACCTATGAGAGAAAAAAATTAGAAAATTATATATATATATGTATGTATGTATCATTGAATCACTTTGCTGTATACCCAAACTAACAGCATTGTCAACCAGTTATACTTCAATAAAAAAATAAAAAATAAAAACAAACAAATAAAAATACAGTACCAACATGTGTTAGTTTTATTTATTATAAATAATTTAGAAAACAGAAAAGCACAAAAGAGAAAACAAACTCTCTCCAAATATGACCACCCAGAAATACTTTTTATTTTTTCATCTTTTGGTATTCTGTCTTAGGGATAGGCACAGTTCTCTACAAATGATCAAAAATAATTATAATTAAATTATACATATTATTTTCATCAAAAAATCAAGAGAGTTCCAGAAAAACATCTACTTCTGCTTTATTGACTATGCCAAAGCCTTTGACTGTGGATCACAACAAACTGGANTATGGAGTCTCAAAGAGTCGGACACAACTGAGCAACTGAACTGAACTGATATTATTTTCGTACTTGATTTATTTCACTTAGCACATACTTAAAGTAGGGATTTCCAATGGCATCATGGTTTCCATCCATGGTTGTGTTAGAACTGATACAGCCAATCCTGAGTTGATGGACATTTTTTCTGTTTTCCTTTTTATACTGTTCTAAATAATGTTGTTATAATTACACAAATGGGTAAAAGTTTACTCATGCTGCTATTTATTTTCTTTAACAAAGAAATTAGGTTTTTAGAAAATTTTGCATGGATTTGACTCATAATTTCAGTATTTTGGTACATTTTGTTGAGCTGCCTTCTAGAGAGAGTGGTTTTTCTAGCAATGAAAATGCAATTTCTTAGAAAGTTTCCTCAATTCTGAGATTGAGAATGTATTTAGTTTTGCCAATCTGATAGATGGAAGGGGCATCTTGTGATTTTAATTTTCACTTTTGAATCAGAGAGAGAATATTTTTGATATGTTTATGGCCCATTTGAATTTTTAAATCAGTGATCTCTTCCCAGTCTTTGATTATTTCTCTATTGCTATTTATCTTTTCAAATTGTGTTTTCTGTTTTCTTTAAGGAAAATGACTTTTTCTTTATAGTCATAAGATACAAAGATGTATTTAAAATTAAAAGAGTTACACTAGGTATTTCAGAACAGATGCCCTTATTGGAAAGCGAACTGAAATTCCTTAGGGATATTTCAGAGATGGGGATGGCAACCCACTTCAGTATTCTTGCCTGGAGAATCCTATGGATGGAGGAACTTGGTGCTACAGTCCATGGGATCACAAAGAGTTGGACAAGACTGAAACGACTTAGCATGCACACCCACAGGGTTGTTTCAGGGCAATCACTTCGAGACGGAAGGATGAGACTGACGAGGGGAGTGGGGCAAAGAGGTGCCTAACAGAGTCTACAGAAGCTGGATGGGGAGGATGTACAAAACAGGAAATTCAGCAGCTGCCAGTATCTGATATGCAGAAAGATTCTACTTTTCATATGTGTGAAAAAAGTGGAAAATTAAAATAAGAGCAGGAATAATGCATGTGTGGAGGATTTTTGAAAGTATCAGATGAACTGAATCAAGAAATTCTGCTGCCTTTCTGGATGTCAGTTAGGTGGTCTCCTGGATGAAGACTGTCTCTAATATTTCATGAAATAACAAAAATTAGTGTGAAGGTGATTCACATGCCAACCACTGGAATAAGAGAAAGTGCTAAATGATAAATGAGTATGTATTTTGTATTATATTAAATTATGGCTTGACTTGAAAGAAAAGGGTAAGATTCTCAGTAAATTTTTCAATTCTCAGAAAATTTAGCACAGTTCAGTCACTAAGTCATATCTGACTCTTTGAGACCCCATGGAGTGCAGCATGCCAGGCTCCTCTGTCCTCCGCTACCATCGGAGTTTGCACAAATTCATGTTCTTTGAGTTGGTGATAAATATTAACCTAAAAGGAAATGCTGAAGAGTAGGAGTCCTCCTTTGCCAAGGAGGTAGAATTATGAAATGAATGATGTGGTGAGAATGGCATAATGCTGAAAAACCACATTTGAAAGGGGGAAAAAGAAAGTTTTATACAGACAGATGACATAAAAATTACAAGTATGGGTAGACGTTATAACAAGATGGTAGGGAGTGAAGATCTAGGGGTTGATAGATATAATGTAATATGTGTTACAAGTTATTGGAAAATCTATGTAAAGTTTAGCATAATTAGAGAAAAAAAACCCTTGTAGATTCACATGCCAAAGTGTATGAGAATCATGTACTCAGGAAATCATAGTAATAAAAGAGGGTTTGTAATACCCAACATAAGTGGAGACAAGAAGCTGGGTGTAGATTAGAAATACCTACTTTAGGACTGGGAGATGGTGCATTGAGACACAGTTTTGAAAAACTCAGAGAATGGGATCAAGAGGACAAATAACATAAAGCCAGGGGAATGTTAGCTGCTGTGGGGAGCCTGTAGTGTGGACCCAGAGGGCCTGGCCAGAGGTTGGCGGGATGGAGAGGGTGTGGTCATAAGGAAAGACACTTGGCATGTGGGGTCTTACAGCATAGTTGCAGAGGGCAGGTGGTAAATGGGTTCCAGTAACATTGTCAAGTGTGGCCTGGTGGGTGGGAGAGGAACCCATTTGAGGAAGGTGATTGCTGGAGAATCATGGAGTTGGCATAGGGGAGTCTGGAAACAAGATTCCAGCTGCTCAATTGGAATTTGCCAAAAGGACTCCTTCCCTATAGGGAACTATCAAGAACATGGTGATACCTCTGTCCTAAGGGGACCAAGCATCTCTTAAGTTCCTTTGGAGACCCTGTTAACTCACAGACCTTCTTCTCTATTTCCTAATATTAATACAACCTGGAGTCCTGCTTCAAGGAAAGTACAGGATGGAAACTGCTAGAAAGTAGAGTCCTTGCATCTTGAACCTAAGCTAGAAAGTGGAGTTCTTGCATCTTGAATCTAAGTGCCTTCTGTAATACTCTCCTTTCTGGGGACAGGCATACAGTTAGCACCGAAGATAGGCCAGGTGAGGTACAGGTAACCCAGACAATGAAACAGAGAAGGACTTGAACAAGAAGAAGAGACATGAAAGGAGAGAAGACAAGCCCAAGTTCATCCAAGTGTTTGCATTTGGAATAGAAGCTGGCATCCGCTGGAGAAAATAATTTCACAGTGTGGGAAGAAATTGTAAATCGGATATGGTCGACCCTTTAAAAAATACTTTAGCTGGAAGTCAGCCTGTGGTTCTTAATAACTGCATTCAGTCTTTCAAACACCTGAGTTAAAAAAAAAATTCTCCATTTGGATTTAAATGTTGGATTGGCCAAACACATCATTTGGCTTTTAATAACATCTTATGGAAAAACCCTGACAAATCTTTTGGCCCACCCAACATTTCTAAGATATTTTATTCTTGACTTAAATAGAGTCTATGGAACATAAAATTTTTGGCAAAGATTCAGGATAGCTACTGTGAATGCTCAGAGCACACACTGTGCGTCTGCCCTTTAGTGCCCCTGTCCTCTCCCTTGACCATAAAATGTTCCTACGCAGTTATGCTGTCTCATCATATAGAAATGTTTCCACTTGTTCTTTAATTTATTTCTTTGTTATTCCATGAAAGGTTGGCTCTAGTTAGGATTAAAAGCATTTTAAAGATGGAAGAGAAATTTAGTGACTCACAGGAACCACCAAAGTGGAGAGGGAGTAAGCCCTCTTAAGGAAGGACATAAATAGCATCCGAACGTCTCATTCTCTGTTTCCCTCTGCTCATGGCTAGTCCTCACAATGCCACCCAACTGCCTGCAGGGGAACACCCCCAGAAGTTCCAGATGCTTAACACCTTATCTTAACACCTCCATGTCTGGAGAACGGAAAGGCTTTTATCCTTCTAGCTTAATTAGGATAAAAGATCCTAAGAACTCTGATTGGCCAGGCCAATCATCCATTCAGTCCTTGGATTGGGGCAGGGGAACCAGTGGTGGGACATTGTGGATGGATTACCACCTGATGGGTTTGCCACATTTTACAGGACGAGTGAACATGGCAAGAAGAGTGACTCACTATGGGGGTGGGGGCTTTCTTGTAAGCCAGGGAGCCATCTCAATTTGTCTTGATTATAGCACATAATAAAGCTTGTAAGGAATGTGAGATCATTAAATAAACAAGACGGTGAATGGGGGCATCTGGGAAGCAGTGGGGGATTTTCAGGGACTTGTAATAGCTGGCAAGAATCCCTTAGAAGAAATAGAGTATCCCTCATACTCAACAAGAGTCTGAAATGCAGTACTTGGGTGTGATCTCAAAAACAACAGAATGATCTGTTTGTTTCCAAGGCAAACAATTCAATATCACAGTAATCCAAGTCTATGCCCCAACCACTAATGCCAAAGATGCTGAAGTTGAATAGTTTTATGAAGACCTACAAGACCTTCTAGAACTAACACCCCCAAAAGATGTCCTTTTCATTATAGGTGACTGGAATGCAAAAGTAGGAAGTTAAGAAATACCTGGAGTAACAGGCAAATTTGGCCTTGGAGTACAAAATGAAGCAGGTNAGTCTGAGCAAGCTTTGGGAGTTGGTGATAGACAGGGAAGCCTGGCATGCTGAAGTCCATGGGGTCACAAAGAGTTGGCCACAACCGAGTGACTGAACTGAACTGTAATAGCTGGAGCTTGGAGCTGGGGTTGGTTAGTTTCTAGGTGATATGTGGAGACTGACATTTTTCTGTGAATTCAACCTGAAACTATGTTCCTGAAATGCAAAACCTGTGGTATCTCTTTTTATAGAGATTTAAGGACAGAGTCGATCCATCCTTGTCAGTTATGGCAAGAAAAAGTAAAGCTGCTGGAAGCAGGGATGGCTGTTCCAAGATGCACTTTAAAAAAATCTAGTTATTTATTTTTTTGGCTGTGCCTAGTCTTAATTGGCCTTTCCCTGGTGGCTCAGCTGGTAAAGAATCCACCTGCAATTCAGGAGACCCTGTTTCAATTCCTGAGTC